CTCCAATCATCAGTGTTATAAAGACAGTGGTGGAAAGTAATCGAGTACATTTACTTGTATTTAAGTAGAATTTTGTCATACTTGTAGCTTAGTGTTTCCACTTAATGCTAGTTTATAGCCGACTTACACTTCAGAAATATTTTACTTTATACTTTAACGTTAATTCCTGTCACTTTAAGATGAAGATTTTACACAATGAATAATATAACAAGCAAATACAACACATTGTTAAAGATTACATGACTGTTTTCCAGCCATCTTGACGTCTTACAAGCCAAAAAATGTGACGTCTTAGGTGTCTATGGGTTGTTAACAGCTCCACCAAAAGTTTTTTTTTTCCCCAATAAATGTTAAAATGATCCATTATCTCACTAAAAATTAAGAGAAAAAAAAGCTCATTTGCAGATTTGTGTATCAGGACTTTGTTGTTCCTTCTTTCCTCTCCCATTAATCATCTTAGATTTAGCTGCTGTCCCTGAACATAACACTGCATATGAAATAGTTCAAATCTCCAGGAGCTACAACAGGAAGACGCTGATAATCTAATGATGTCACATGTAATAATATATGAGCCGACGGGACCAAATCAGTGTATTTACTTCAAAGAAAGCTGCAGAAATGGACAGAAAATGTGTAAAAGGACAGGAGGAGAACGGTTCAGCCGGCCAGGAGTTAAACCCGAGACTCACTTCTGACAACGTTTACTCGTTCTGCAACCGAACCGACTGGCTCTTGGCTCATTCCAGGAACTTTCCCCTTCATACCGAGGCTATTTCCTTTTACCTGAGTGGGGTTTTTCATGTAAAATTGTTTCTAGTAATGTTTTGTGTTGCTGTGCGAGGACTTTTACCTGACTGAATGATCTGGATACTTCCTCCACCACAGTTTTTAGTAAATGAATCCCGAACTGGCTCCACTTTCTTCTTCAAGTTCCTGTAAAACCCAAATGAATAAATAAATAATCTGGATAAATGTATACATTTCTCCGGCCGCCTCAGTGGGCTACATAACTCCAGCTAAATAAGCTGTGAAAGCTCTCTCCCTGTCTCTGGATGCTGGGTGTGGTCAGACAGGATGTTCGGACATAAACAAGTGAGCGACTCGGGCCGGACAGAAAAGCGTGCTGGAGGAGAAGAATGGACGCACAAACAAGCAAACAAACAAGCACTTTTTTTTATCTTATCTCATCCTTACAGGCTGCAATTATGAAGAATACATTTTCCATCATTTTGTTATCCGCTCCATCCGTCCACTCAGAAGCCTGCTCCACCGTCCTGATGCTGTTCATCACTTAAGCTCACTTCTGCTTATTTATCTTGTTTTTTTATCCTCAAAACGAGTCAAATTCTGCGCTCCTAATGTCTTTACTCATGTAATGGCACGCATCCTTCTCGCCAATTAGTGCCTGCTAATGACCGATTAAATAGTGATCATGTACTTTCCGCCGCAGGGAAAATGTAGTAATTGAGGCGCTGTACGTAGCCCTAACAGGGCTGTCATTCCGCTAATATCCATTTTGCCTTCAAAAAGGCCTAATTAACCTCAATTCTTAAGCAGCTCGGCTCTCGTCAAAGGACGGCGTAGTTGAAAGCTTTCTACTTTTTTGTTGTTCAAAGGAGATTAGCGACGCTTATTTAAATTCATGCACTGTAAATAGACTTGGTTAAGGGTAGAAATGTGAAATGAGGTGTTATGGCCTGGAGGACCCGCGTTCTCCCTGATATCTGAAGCACGATGAATCATTTCAGCTTTTAAAACAATTTGGTAGAGGAGGATAGGCATCGCGCTATATTGCTCTGATAGTCTTCCGTGTTCGCTGTGATCTCTGGAGTAACGGAGGCGTCTAACTGTGAGCGCTGATGTCTGAGTAGTGAGTGTTGTTACAGATATTTACCCCTTTTCCTCTGTGTGTAAACAGGATGGGCTGCAGCTGGGATCGCTATGATGGCTTTCCAACTGTGGTGCTTTGGGCTAAAGGCTAATGTCGCCATCCGAATGTGAATGTAATGATGTTTATCAAGTGTAATACCATATTCACCACTCACACCATTTACCCACGAGCATACAGTTGATTCAGATGGGAATGTTATAGGCAGATATTTCATCTTAAAGCCGAACGGTGCTCCAGAATTTTGAACACAGTGTTGATGTAGCAGGAAACAACCATTGTTATGCGTAGATTAAGTGGAATAATAGCGTTTTTCACAGAAAGTCACTCTCCCTTTGTGCGTGTTACGATCTGAGCTTCTCTGTCGCACGTTTCGGCAGTCGTTCTGGTTGTTCTGGTTGCATGTTGGTGCATGTGAGTCGCTCCCTGTGACGCTGTTGGCCTTCTCCGCATTCATAAACCGAGAGTGACCTCACAGTGTTGTCCGTGTCCGTTTCAACACCCTCCCTGTTTGTCACGATGGAGCGGACATGAGTGGGGATGGCACCTGAATTGGCATCGGGGCCATTCAAGGTGTTTTGCAGTGGTAGTGTGGGCTAATAGTCGTGGCTGGTTTATTTCTCTTTTGCTCTTTGTAAGTGAAAGTGAAGGGAGGTGTGGCCAACGTGAAGGTTCTGACCTGAGGTGCTGGTCCTCTAGTGACAGCCGGTGACTCTGAAAAGGTACACACAAATCATTTAGCTTTAAGCAAATTAAAATGCTGGCCTGATGATGCTACATGAACACCTAAGAATCACCAGAGCACTTCATCCTGAGGGGAACGTCTGCACCATCGAGACATTCACTCATCGTTGCAGTACATAAAAAGTGTTTAGGGTTCATCTCCTGAGGACCAAGACAATCCAAATTCCACGGTGTGCCATGGCAATCCATCCAGAATTCACTGAAACATTTTCATCTTGACTTTATTAACCTGTCGGCTGACTGAGTGACAAGATGCTTGAATAGAAAACTAAGATGTACCTGTAGACTGAAATGAGTCATTTTGTGAGACTTGCAAATGAATATAGTAGCTTGTTTGTGCACTCCTCCTCCTCACCTGTACTCCCTCTGCTACTCTTGGTCAACCTCACATGCAGTTTGGTTCGTTAGACCTTTACCTCACATTTAACACACACACACACACACCAGCAGTCTGCCAGGGAGGGAGTCATTACTGGCTGCACTGCTACAGCCAGCGCTGATGCTATCTGCATAATGAATATCCTAAACACAGGCAGTTTAATCCACTAACTTCAGTGTTTCCATACACGCAGCCAGGTAGAGCAAGAGGCGAGAGAGCAGCGGTGCACGGGAGGCTTTGTTTCCTTTTGAAGTCCGTCCAACTAAGCATTAAGCAATTTGCAAAGATGGACGTTTCTTGCGGCGTGCCCTCTGCCTGTATTGCTCACTCGTACACGCTGCTCCCAGGTTTCAACAGGCTCATTTAAAACACATTAGGCTGTTAGAGCGCTGTCAGGGCCCGGCGATGAGAGAGAGGCCCGTCTGTTTAATGCTGCGAGGGGGCCGTCTGGTCGCCCCGCGCTCTCATCCCAGCCCACAGGAAGCTCTCTCCAGCCTGATAAGGAACAGAACATGCCGCTCAAGGAGCCAAGCCCCCGCTGACATTTTCCCAGCTTGCTCCTCCTTTAATGCTCACTGTTCTAATAATGCAGAGGCAAAAATATGGCTCAATTTGTCTTGACTTTTCTCATTTGCATGCCTGGAGCCTTGTATTATCATTCAGAGTAAAAAAAAAACTCCTCAGGTTACTTAACCCTCATTCTAATTTGCAGAAGAGAGCTTGATTGGTTATGATAGGCACCGTCAAACTGCTGCCCTAAGTATTGTGTGACCCTTTTTAGCAGTCGACAGATTATATCTTTTACATTTTGATGCTTCTGTGGGCGACTACATCAACAGAAACCACTGTCTCGTTTATAAAACTGTAACCTGGTATAACACAGACACTCTGGTGATTTATTGAGCTGCATATGACTCTGCTGTCAGACTAAAGTGTCTCTTATAGTCGGAGCTCGCATCAAGTGTTTGGCTTGTTCTGCAGGGTCCTCATATGAAGTGTGCTAATGATTGTAGACCGGGTCTTAGCCTCCCTGAGCTCAGTCTGACTAGCGGCTCTGTAGAGGCACCGTCTGCTGTGTGCCTCGCCTTTAATAAGACTAGACATGGCTGCTGATATTATTAGAACATATAGAGTCCGCTCTATAAATAACCCAGGTGATTTTGACTAGACACGAGCTTCCACAGAGACTCGCGCACATTCAGTGGGCAGCTCTGGAATACAGTAGAAACAGTGGAGGAGACATAATCAGACGGTTCCTGATGCGGTGCTGTCCGGGTGCCAGGCAGGAATTCAGCATTAAACGTGTGTCTTCCTTGAAAGGTTCATGCTTGGTGTGTGTGTGTGTGTGTGTGTGTGTGTATTCCTGTGCAGCGTATGTGTGTGTAATAGCACTAACTCCATTCGAGGGAGCTCCATCCATCATTATATGGAAGAGCCAAATCGTTGCCAATATCCCTCTCCGCTCACCCACTCCATTTATTTTACATCTAATAGGTCTGCTGTACTGTAAAGATTGATATAGCTCATATCCGCGTAATATACAGCAGACTCTCAATTTCAGCCCCTGCCTCAGCTGCAGCAGAGCAGTGGGAGGGTCACCCGAGTGTCACAGATTTGCCCCACTGATCTGAAATCAGTTGTAATTTAATGGAGTAGATTTTTGAAGGAAGTTCACTTATGGAGACTCTCAGCATTTAAAGCAGTCTGAAGGAATTCAGCACGTACCATCGGCTTGTCTTTAACAAGCCGTAGTGACGACCTAAAGTTTTGTCTTGCAGCAGCGGTGCGTAGGCAGAGGCAGGTCACTGGGTGCACTGCTGGCAGAAAGCAGCACTTCACTGATGAGGGTGAATTCATACTCTGCTGTGTTTTTGCATATGCATTTCGCCGTTTCCTTTACCCTTTATCTATATGTACATATGCATTGATTTTCCCACCGTGCGCCCTCGCTCTGTCTTTGAAGCTGACCCTTATGCTTGCATGTTGCAGGCGTGCTGCAGGTCAGCGGGATGCGTATCTACACATCTGGGGAAATCGAGGCAGTCAATGGGACAGACGTTCGTCTGAAATGCACGTTTCAGAGCTCAGCTCCCATCAACGTCAACCTCGTCGTCATCTCCTGGACCTTCAGACCCCTCGGACCGGGCCGAGAAGAGTCGGTGAGTGCATGTGTGTCTGCTGGCAAAAAAAGTGAGATCAAACCTTAACCCTCCCTCGTCGTGTCAGGGAGCATCCACCCCCTCAGACAACTCAGAGAGGAGCCGGTGAGTCATCCGGCTCCCTGCGGAGCGTCCAGCACAGCCTGTGTTTGTGTTCTTATAATAGACAGAATAAGAAGCAGCAGGTCTTTGTAAGTCTGGGTTCATATGTTTCTTTCTCTGCTCCAGTAAAATATCTTCCTCCACCAGCAGGAGCAGCCTCAGTTTGAGGCAATTGAACCAATCGGTGTCATCGTTGTTCCAACCAAATCTACCCTCCAAACTCCTCTTGCAGGTGTTCCACTTCCAGCAGCGGCCGTATCCTCCTGTAGAAGGCATCTTCAGGAAGCGCATCGTCTGGGCCGGGGATATTAACGGCCGCGATGCCTCCATCATAATTCGAGAGGTCAAGTTCACCTACAACGGCACCTACATCTGCCAGGTGAAGAACCCGCCGGACGTCCACGGCAGCGTCGGACAGATTAAACTCCGCGTCGTCACCACAGGTCAGCACATTTATTTTCAAAGTCACACATGTTGCTGTCTGTGAATCCATCTGCGCACAGAATAATAATACAGTACACAATGTCAGTACAGTGTATAAAGAAAAGGTAATTTAACATTAGTATGATAATCTTTGAAAAGAATAAAAAGAAAAAATAGAACCTGCTGCAGCAAAGGATTAAATTACTGATTTTAACTACTAAAATTAGATTATTATTCATTAGATGTTTCATCCTGATTTCTTTGTGACCAAGTAACTTACAAAAGGGACCCTCTTTTTGTGTGTATTTTCATTTTTTATACACAGCAGTGTTCTGGAGAGATTTGGCAGCGTTAGCAGCAGTGAGATGATGTTTGATGTCAGAATGCTAATATGTCCACAGTGTCAGCGCTAACATGCGCGTGGTTAAAAGGTCCAGTGGCTTCAGTATCTTAGTTTAGAGTGTTAGCAATTACAAGGTGACAGGACTATTGTTGTTTTTCTTTGAAAGAGAACTGAGCCTTCACATTAACAGCAGCTCACAGACAACATGCAAAATCCCAAATAAAATGTTTCTGAGCAGTGATTTTCTTTGTCTTTTCAAGTATGCGCACTCACACTTGTGCATTCCTGTGTTTCCTCGTCAGCTTCCTTCTCCGAGCTTCTCCTCCTGGCGCTGGCCATCGGAGGCGGCATCGCTGTGGTGGTCATCCTCCTCATCATCATCGTGTCCTGCAGGAGGTGCAGTAAGCGGAGACAGAGGCAGATGGAGGGGAACGAAGAGGCGCCCCGCAAAGAGAGAAAAGACCCCACCGCGTGGTAAGACCGACAAGAAAGGCAGAGGGAGAGGAAGAAGGGGATAGAGAGAGGAACCGAAGGATGGCACACTTCCTCTCTTGCTCTCCGTCTGACTCTGGGGATCAGGGCATGTGGTGCTCCTTCTCGGGGCCTGGGGCTCTTTTCCTGCTGGACGCTTCACTTTCTTCCTTCCTCTTCAACTGCAGTCTTTGGATCCCAGATTTGGACCAATAATGGGCAGCTGTCATTAAGCAGAAATCAGTGAAGAATGTGCCTTTGTGTAGAGAGCTATAGAAACCGAGCATTAGCTTCTATCATATCACCATGCGCCTTTCATTCCTGGAGAGAAACGACTGTTTTTTTATCACATCCTCCTTTCATGTTTGGCTAAATGGGCTTCCAAACACATTTCCTGTTTAGATTAAATGTTTAGATGATACAGAGGTAGAACAATGGTGTATTCCTGCTGTTTACTTCCCTACTAATACATTTCAAACCCTAACATACCAAATGAAGCTCAAGACACATGTTGGATATATTATATCAGCCAACAATAGACACAGCGGAACAATGACTGAGCACTTTCTAAGCTTCTATTGTTTTTTTTTTTTTTAATCACCACATGATGGGAATCATTATGAAACCCCACACAAAGCTATTATCAGTCCTCATTTCAATGCTCGTATGTGCCGGCTGTCTGATCCAATTCACTGTGGTTCATTTAAAGCTGCAGGAGGATGCTGGTTTGCATTACTGTTTTGTTTCACTACTGAGATCATGTTGCTGTATTTTCTCTGAGATTTTTCGTTGTTACTAGACTGATTTTGTAACTGCTGCAGAAATAATCAAGGTGCTATCGAGAAATCCAAAGCCTGATGGTGAGCACTTGTTGGAAACAGACATTTTATACAGTATTTTTGTGCAAATTTCTAAATTTCCGATTGTCAGATTGGCAAATTTTCAATTTTCTGATATTTTTATAGCGTTTCTAATGACCTATTGTCTGTTTCAAACAATGCGCTATTCTATAAAAAACAACCACAACATGTTTTTCCTGGGCGTGTGACTTCTTTGCCTCTCTCTTGGGTTTTCAGATCTTTCTGTAAAAGGTGCATTGACTGATTTATCCTCACTCTTGAGCTGTGACACTACCAAAAGCAGGCCTGTGAAGGAAAACTTTGACAGCTTTTTAGCCTTCATCTCGCTCGATCTGATTTATTCAGACTTCAAACTAAAGCTCTCATTGAAAAACTTGGTGAAGGAAGGAAACGGTTTCACCCCAATCAAATGCAGATGAGTAAACAGAGATTTTGATCCGACCTTTGCTCTCGACTTGGGACAGTTTACCGCCGTCTGATGCTAACCCTTTGTCCCTGCTGCTGTGTTTGTGTCTGCTCGTCTTTGTCCTTTCCCCCGCTGCGTGTGACTTGTGCACATGCGTGTACATCAATAATTCATGAATGTGTCATGCATGAATGCATATCCGTGTGTGTATCCCTTACCTCCCCCTGGTGGATGTCTGCTTGTCCCGTCTGTGCGTGTCCCAGCCACCCATCGAGGGCCATCCACCTCTACCTATCAGAGACGTCCGTAGAGATTGACAGTTCAGACGGCATGATCTCAGACCCCAGCACCCCCAGCTCGAGCTCCTCAGAGGACGAGGGCCCGAGCTCAGACGACGAGGACGACGATGACGACTCCGACTGAAGAGGTGGGGACAGAACGGGGAGACGGAAACGCTGATGTGAAGTCAGCCAGGGGTCTTGCTGAAGGGAAACCCGGACGGCACCTGTGGATCCCACTCTTCAGTCGAGTGGAGGCTGGATGATGAAGGAAGAGCTGCTTGCGAGCGCATTGTTCAAGACTGTGAGGAGAAGTTTCCAAACAAGAGCAAAGAGATGATCCCTCTGACAAGAAGCTGGATCAAAAGTCGAGTAACTTTACTTTTCAGAGAGTCCAGAAATATTCGCACGAGGGAAGAAATGCTGAATCCTGAAGCTGGCTTGGCGGCTGTCCTGAAGGGTAAAGGGGTCAATAATTGTCTGTTGGTTTAGACATGAATCTTGTTAAGTATAGGAAGTCAATACCAGAATCAGCTGCAGCAAGCAATCGATTTCATTGACGATATTGGCATGTTTCTATGTAGAGTAAGGAAAGCGGTTGCTGCCATGATGAGCCATAAACAGATCTTTATCTTTCTAAGGGTGCCTGCAGCTTTTAAAACCAACTTTCCTGTTAACTTGTGTGGGATCATCTGTAGTTACGTTTTACAGCTAGAAGTCATTCTGAACAATGTAGGTCTTGCATTTCAGTCATTAAGCACATCACTGTGATATCTGCCTGTCTGTGAGTACTCGTTAAAGGTGGCTCCATCCTACACATGTAGGCTGAGGTGCTCACAATATGTCACACCAGATTGCTTTGATAAAAAAAAGGTATAAATGTGATGTTGCTGCCATTAAGTCTGAAGGCCAAATCCTTGATCAGTGAGCGAGCGACTGCATGCAGGCACCTGCCCTGAACGTCGTGTGGGAGCAACACAGTCAGATCTGAAAACCCTTTGATTGCAAAATGTCCTTGAGAGCCTGTTTTCCTCTCCTGTGAATGCATCACGTCTACTAACAAATGACTGTACTGCTGTCTTTCGTCCTTGCATGACAGAGTTTTTACTTGTGTTTTAATACTGAGCAGTATGTTTAAAGACTTTCACTAGTTTTTTTTAGGTAATGCCAGAAATATTTTATCATGTTGTTTAAAAGTGTCACCGTATGTGTTTGTTATAGAGCTTTTATAAAAGATTTTCTAATAAAAATGCCTTTAAAGCCCGACCACGTTGTTTTTTACCTAAATATTAACCACACAAAGTTGTTCAGGGCGAACACGTGCAACAAATAATCACACACAACTCGGAGTGATTTGATAGAAGTCATCTATTATGTAAGAGAGTCGTCTTGTTATCCGGCATTTATTATGCATCATTATCTTCAATGCTCTACCTCCAGTTGTGTGTTTACGGTGTGTCGGTCTGCAGAGCTCCTCACTGTTTACCTGTAAGCACTGCTGCAGCAAGTCTCTGTTTAATTTGTTGCAGGCTCAATACTTTCATTCCTTCGTGACTTCAGTCTGCATTTGCTCGTTTGTTGAATGCTGATTGCTCATGACCACGAATACGTTACTCAACGTGTGAGTGTGTGTGATTGGGTTTGAGAGCCCATTTGTGAGCACGGATCAAAGTCTGCAGCTTTAGTTACTGACTGACAGACCTTGAGTGTAGATGGGCGGCAGAGGAGGGCTGACTAACACCAACGAGAGGGGCAGGGTGGCTGACAGACTGTTTATGCAAGCTAAATAAGTACATATCGTTGTAGTCAAAGGTCACTGGTGTTAACCTGATAGAACAACAATGAAGTCTGCTGATAATCCTGTTAAAGCCTCTTTTAATATCTCTCATAGCGTTTAAATCTGAGCCACTTCAATAATCAGCTGTGGAGATGAAAATATTCAAGGTGTATTTTTATTATTATAATTTAGATTTTTTGTGCCAGTGTTCAGAAACAGCACGACTGCCAGCATCCCGAAACATCTCTCAACAGCTATTAAATGTAGAAAAAGCAAATAGGCCATTTTCTCCAGCGTTAGCGTCCCGCATGGATCAGAATGCAGCACACAGAACACTTTGCATTTCCAGCAAATTCTCTCCTGTTTTTTTTTTTTTTAACCTCGCCTGCCTCTATGCTTCCATCAGCAAACCTATCATCAACAAACAGAAACACAGCTGCATGCAGCACGTTCACGGGGGGGAAGGAGGGAGAGAACACAGAGCGAACACACAGGTGACAAATAATAAGGACAAACCTGAACCCGTACAGATGGACGGTATGGAGGCTGTGGGGGGCTTTGTTCAGATTCACTCGTCCCCTTAAAGGGACTGCAACTGATCCAAAGCTGCTGTGGCCGTTGCAATCGCCAGATCTCAACCCAACTATGAGAGATTCTGGACTCACAGCAATCTCTATCGCCATCATCAAAACACCAAATGAGAAAATATCTTTTGGAAAGGAGGCTGTTTATCCCTCCAGAGGTCCACAGGGTCGCTGATAAGCAGCACTGAAGCTGTTCTGGTGGAACATCGCGGCCTCGTGAAGACGCTCTCAAGCTTCGGTGCAGATATTAGTTACTGTTCCCTCCTGAACACGAACTCCATCTGAGGATGAAAAGAAACAGAGGAAGACAGTCTTTCTCTCACCTTTATAGGTAATGTGAACTAAACTGCTGGGAGAGGTGTTCTCAAGCACCCTGCGTTCATTTAAAAAAGCACAATCCGGTCATTATAGCAACACACAAAACATTTCTCTAAAGAACAAACTGATGTGGGCTTCGTTTAACAGAGAGGAAGAGAAACGCTGTGAACAAGAAGACTTCCTGCCTCTCTGAACTGTAAGCTGGTTTTCTGCGGTGCCTCGTTGCACTCTCTCATTTCAGTCTGCATTCCACACCTTAGGGTGGGTTGTACCTGGCACAGCAATGTGGAGAGATACTGAATTCCTACACACACACACACACACACACACACACACACACACACACACACACCAACCCACAAAAACATGGGCTTGGCAGGACACGTTGAAGAAAGAGAATCTAAAGCCACCTCACTGGTGCATTATTGATGGCCGTGTCCACACTTCCTCACACTGGTTATTAATGCACTCTAAAGGTGGAGCATCAGCTTTATTCTGATTGTGTGGAGAAAGATTCCCTGCTGTTAGTGAGCAATGCTGCTGTACTTGTTCGTGACAAGCCCTGAGACGACTGTATTCGAGACCTTTAAAATGCACGCAGCAGATGCAGCTTTTCATCAACTCTTCAGGGCGTATAAAGTGAAGAAAAGAGCGCAGGACTCTCACGTTTTTTTGGGCGGTGGATAATGGTTACATACCCCGTCTGGCTCCAATAATGTAAATCACCTGTATTAGTCCCCTCCAGTGCTGACAACAGAAGAACAGGTCTCTTGTTGACCAGAGTCGCCACAAAGCCAGTAAGTGGGGAGAGCCTTCATTGTGACTGAGAAGATTTCGGCTGAAACTGAGACCAGACGACTGTAAGCAGACAGAGGGCCCTTGTGCTCGCACACACAATACGCAACGCATGTGACGGTGTGTGTGTGAACATAAACAGGTAAGAGGCGTTAAACTGCAGTCAAACAGATCAGAAAATACACCATACCTATGGAAAACAGAAGCTGTGAAAGCTCTGTGCTCCTGTAAGTCAGAATCTATTCAACAAAGGAAGCAGGATCCTGCCTGCCTCCATGTAGGAGCTCTTACGTAATACTGTTACCAGATACAACACAAACACTGTACTTGTGAATGGATCCAGCAGGAGGGAGCCTGCGCCCCGCTCCTCGCTTCCTTATCTCATATTTGACAGGCTGTCTGCAGAAATTTGCGGTGAATTTTGATTTTGCAGTGAGCCCAACATAAACACAGAGTCCAGCCAGGTGAGAGCGTCGGCCAGAGACGCAGCACATCGGTGGAGCCGTGAAGAATCTGCTGGATCGCCGTCCAAGGAGGATAAAACGGCACCATCATGTTGCACAGAATTTACCTGCACTGCAACTCAAATCTCTTTGTGTTGGAATATCAGAATTAGTGATATAATTTCCTTGCAATAATATCAACTTGTTGTATGGAAACCCTGCTTTTCCCTCATTAGCTGTTTAATTTGAATAAAATTAGCGAGCAACATGAAACTCATCAACTTTGCAGCTAATCAAATTAGTGTTTTTTTCCAGAATACACGAGGGATTATTTGCTCAGGAAATGTTCTTTCTTCTTCTTCTTCTTCTAATGGCACCAAACCATTATGCATTTCACTCCAGCATCTAGATATATGGACTGTGTTAAATCAGATTACAGCACACGGCCGATACATGCACAGCGTTTCTCAGAGGCCCAGAGTACCAGAGGATGCTGCACTCGGTCTATATCCTCTGATGTGCCATGAAATGAAGTTATGCAACACGACCACAGCATCATCTCTGTTGTGAGATCGGAGAAAACGCTCCTGGCAGACCAGATGGATGTAAGAATGGAACTGACAACCCAGACCAAATAAAGACATAAATAAACTTCAAAAGGGCTCTGTGCAAACATGCAGCCGAGAGATAAAACACTGTACCCCAGCGAAGCCGACAAGGCTGGAAAAACAAATACCTTCTCCCATTAGAGATAATTACAACAGTAAAGACAGGAGATCGGGGACAGGGATAGTGGAATAATACGCCTAGAAATTCCAGGGGAGTCCCAGCAGAGCATCCAGGGTTTCATACGGAGGCTGGATGGGGAGATAAGGGCTCCAGAGGGGGCTGAGGACGGGTGAACATATCTAATATTGTGTTGTTTTGGCTGGGAGGCCCACGCCTGTGTTAGACAGCAGCTGACACCGCCAAAATACACACAAAAATAAATGTAAGTCAGGTCTTTTTTTAATAATAATTTACCTCCAATAGACTGGACTTCATGGTTACAGCTGTTACAGAAAAACATTATTTCTTCTCTTCTTTCTCGTTTATTCTCTTTTGGTGGGTGTTTGTTCTCACTGTTGTGCTGGGATGTTCAAATTGTTGCTGTTGTATATATAATGAAAGAAACCACCGTGAGATTTATTTATTTTTGACAAGTTGCTGCTTTTCTTTGTTTTTAAAACTTTCTTGGTCTTCAGTAAGTTACCTGAAAATTTAAAAAAAAAAGTTAAAATCACGAATATTTATTTGCATTATTAGGGTCCGAGCACCCAAAAGGGTGCGAAGACCCTATTGGAACTGCTCGGATTAT